GAGGGGGGAGGGGATGGGGAGTGACTGTGCTAAGGGGGGTCTTCTTTCTGGGGTGATGACAATGTCCTAAAATTAATAGTTGCACATATCAACAAATGTACTAAAAGCCATTGAGTTGTACACATTAAATGTACATATGGCATGTGATTTACACCTCTGTAAAGTTATTACAAAACTCCAGGGAAAATATATATGTCAAAGAAATACAAATTTGAAACCTAAAACACTATTTTTGGCCTCTAAGCTTGGTCAAGATTAAAAAGACCAACAGTCCAACAGATTGCTGATGCTTCATGGGGGGATGGTACATACCCCAGGGGTGAGGGCAGGGTGGGCCTGACAGGCTGTCTTGCACTACAGCAGGGGGCTGAGATGGGAGCCCCAGGGAGGCCAAGTGAGGAGGACCCCTGTGCCCCCATCTAGACATTCCCAGGAACCTTGGGCTTACCCTCGCTGGCCCTGGGTCACCAGGGCTCAGACGTGCACTGGGATGCCAACTCTGAGCTGCGTCTGGGCTCTTAATTAGCCACATTGTCTCCACGGGGCCAAAGCAGGAGTGAGCACATGCAGAGTGAACGGACGGGCGGATGGACCTAATGCACGAGAACTATGATTAGCACTGCCCCAGGAAGAACCTCCTTTGTTCTCCAGGACTGTGTACTTGCACATGTGTTGTCCTTCCGGCCAGGAAGGTGGACATGGGTTTTGGAACAGGGCAGCCACAGGCTGGTCATGTGGCCCTCCCCCAGGATCCTCAGGCAGGCATCACTTCCCAGTCCTCAATTTAGAGCTGTGACTTCTCCATTTTTCTGTAACTAAGCACCTTTTATTTCCTTTAGTGTACATTTAAAATTTATTTAAGTATAGTTGGTATACAATCTTATATTGGTCATATTAGTTTCAGGTGTATAATATAGTGATTTGACATTTTTCTACCTTACAACGTGATCACCCCATTAATTCTAGTACTTCTCTGTCACTGTGCCAACTTATCACAATACAACTGACTATATTCCCTTCCTCTCCTACCCACTCTCCTTTCTGGTAACCATCCCTTTGGTCTGTTTCTATGAGTCTGTTTTTGTTGTTTTTAGATTCCACATATACATGAAATCATATGGCATTTGTCTTTCTCTGGTGTATTTCACTTAGCATAATAACCTCTAGATTCATCCATGTTGTCACAGATGGCAAGGTTTCATTCCTTTTTATTGCTATAAAATATTCCATTGTATATCTGTATCATCCCTTCTTTATCCATTCACCTATTGATGAACATGTAGGTTGCTTCCATAACTTGGCTGTTTTATTAAATAATCCTGCAGTGAACATAGAGGTGCATATATCTTTTCGAATTAGTGTTTTCATTTTCTTTGGATAAATACCCAGAATGGAATTTCTGGGTCGTACGTTATATCCATTTTTAGTTTTTTGAGGAATACCCATACTGTTTTCCATAGTGGCTGCACCAATTTACCATCCCACCAACAACATACAATGGTTCCCTTTCTCCACACCCTCGCCAACACTTGTTGTTTGTTGATTTGTTGATGGTAGCCATTCTGACTGATATGAGGTGGTACCTCAAAGTGGTTTAAAATTGCATCTCTTTGAGGATTAGTGACATTAAACATCTTCTCATACGTCTATTAGAATCTGTATGTCCGTTTTGAAGAGGTAGCTATTCAGGTCCTCTGCCCAATTTTCAGGTTATTTTTGGGTTATTGAGTTGTACGAGTTTCTTATACATTTTGGATACCAACCCCTTATTGAATGTATCATTTGCAAATATATTTTCCCATTCAGTGGGTTGCCTTTTTGTTTTGTTGAAGGTTTTTAGCTGTAAGCACCTTCTTTCTTTCTTCCCAGTCCCATGCGGGCCTCAGGGAGGGGCGACCCTGTGGGGGAGGTTGTCAGTAAGGGTGAGAATTCTGGGGTCAATTGCGGCTGTCTGCCAAGGCCCACACCAGCACCTGGTGAATAAAAGATACTGTACAACCAGCACTTGATAAAAAGAAGTAAGAAGCCTT